AAAAAAAAAAAAAAAAAAAATGGTTTGGTGCAGTTATTGATAAGATGAAACGATATTTTTGAACTCCTTGAATATATAATTTTTGGTATATATGGCTCGTTACCAAATCATCGGAGAGATTTATTATTGATGTTTAGATATCAATTATATTGTAGTGTTGTGGTAGTTATATCGATTTTTTTTTCCGAAATGATAGAGGTACTATATTAATAAAACCGCACAAAGTGCGAAAAGAAAGCAGCCAAAAGCTGAATAGTACAATCAGAGGCTATAAAACTTGGAGGCAGATCCGAAGATCGCCTAGAACCGTCTAGCTACGCTAGAATGACAAAACTCACAACTGCACTAAAACAATTAACACAACCAAAAACTAAAACAACTAAAATGATCCCAACAGGATAATGTTCGAGTGTAGGATCCCAACAGGATAGTAAGATTACACCAGGGCTCACAGAGGCCAAATGACCCAGACCAAAAACACAAACACAAAACATAGAAAACAAACTACAAAACAAACACTTAAAAGACAATAAAAAACACACGAGCGCTTCCTCTATAGCAAAACCTATTCTGACTAGCAGCCACCAAAATCAACCCAGGGGGATTCATCAGCATGAGAAGAGCGACCCCTCCACTGCCAAACGGCCTAGCTGAATCGACACTCATACCACGAGTCCCACCCAAAGCCAATTCTCCCAACGCCAGAAAACACCGAGAAGCTCCCAACACCGCCAGACCGAGCCCCCTAACACCACTAGCGGACTCTGAAAGAACAGTGAGCACCCCGGAACCCAGAGAACCGAGGAAAGAGAACCTGTCTCAACGCCTCAGCCACAACCCCACCGTCCCGAAGTCACAAAGACACCTCAGCCACAAAAGAACCCAACCCCGAACCAAACGCACCAAACTCTGCCTCCCCACATTAAGTCGCAGCCACAAAGCTCCGCCAAGCTTCGGAGAGAACAAAGAAAGGACAGAGCACCGCCAGTCGCAGGCAAAAGAAAACCGAGACAAGAACGACAAGAAGAGGAAACTCACCCTCAATCGAGACCGGCAAACCCAAATTCCGACTAGTCTTCAATCAACAGCTCGCCGCCTACAATCACCATTCCGCCGGCGAAAAGGAACAGTGCAGATCGGCAGACCCCAGCGTACCTCGGCGACTAGAAGAAACGAACCTAGAAGTTCGTCTAATCCGTCGAAGGCGAGTTCGGAGAGAGGCCGCCTGAGTAGCCAAAGACCTCCGACCCAAGAAGGCGAACAGTCGGAGCCGAACCCGAATCCGACCCTAACCCATCTCACCGCGACCGATGACCCCTCCACCGCACCGAGTAGGCCTGCAATCGCAAACCCTAGCCCACCTGTCGGAGAAGGCGAGTCTAATTTGGCGACCACAAAACACCACTGGTACCCGTGGCGAGCAGGTTCGCAACATCTGGGAAGGGCCGGCCGACGAGGGAACGACTACCCGCAAGACAGAAAGCCGAGAGGAAGGCGACGATGGCTGATGTTTAACGGCGAGAAAAATTGGGGATTGGCTTTTAGAGAGAGAAAAATTGGGGATCTTTTTTAGCGGACATTAAATGTAGTTATATCGATAATATTTTTGCAATTGATTTCTAAATTTATTTTATACTTATATTTTACAAAGTTCTCACGCATATTTCTGTCTACATATGGTTGTATGCCCAACAAGGCGGAAGAACGCATGATTTGTTATTAAGGATAAAGATTGGTTGGTTATTAAAGATAAATGGTCAAACTTTTTTCATATTGTGGAAAATTGCATTTACAACTTTTACAAAAATGAACCGGTTGAGTTATTGATAAATCACAGGATATCAAACTAATCCTATTGATTAAATAATTTTTGAAGAAACGATAAATTAAAAAAGTATTTTGGTATATGGTTGGTTGCCAAATGAATAAGAAATCATTGTTATTTGTTATTAATATCGATAAATAAGATTCTATTGTAACATTGTGATAAATATCATAATAAAATTTTAATTACGGATTTCAATTTCTACTTTGTAATTATATTTGCAATTTTATCATGCATATTCAAATAATATTTTCTAGAAAAAACATATTTAATAGATATTTTTTTGAAGATAAGTTGTATAGTTGGTTACCAAAAGAATAAGAAATTTCAGTGATTTGTAATTAATACGAAGAATCAGATTTTTATAGTAAGTCAACCTAGTCAATTTTTTTTTTTCCCGAAACGATAGAGGTACTATATGAATAAAAACCGCACAAAGTGCGAAGAGAAAGCAGCCAAAGGCTGAATAGTACAACCAAAGACTAGAAAACTGGGAGGCAGATCCAGAGATCGCCTAGAGCCGACCCCAACAGGGTAATACTCGGGAAACACACAAAAAAAACAACCACACTAAACCAACTACACAAACGGAACTAAACAAGACCCCAACAGAGTAATACCCGAATGTCAGAACCCAACAGGATAATAAATTTGACATCCGGGCGCACAGAGGCCAAACGGCCCAAACCAAAAACACAAACCTAAACACATGACACGAACACAAAGAACAACCAAAATAAAAAACCTAATCTGAAGGCACACAAAGCCCTTCCCCAACGAGAAACCGAACCTCGCACAAAGCACCAACGAAATCAAGAGCAATCACCCAATAGCTTGACGCGAAAGCCGGAACACCACTCCCGCCACTGCCTAAAGCCTAGCAAAGGAAGAGTCCCAAGCCTCGAACCACTCCACAGATGAAGCCGACCCACAGCCCGAGGAGGATCGACCAGCCCCACCACACAGACCCGCTTCCCGTGACCCGACCAAACACCATTGGTCAAAATCCGGGCCTGTTGGGCATCCAACTCCACAAAACCAGCAAGTTGGACACAGGGGTACGAACCAACCCACCTCCACCCCGGCCGACGCGACTCATACAAGCCGAGCCACCAAGGTCGCACCCAGCCCCAACCACAATCGCCACCTCCTTGAAACAACCCGCCACTAACCTGTAGCGCAACGCACAAGCTCCCACCGGTGACCGAGCAGAGAAGAAGCCAACCGACGGCCAGCCACCATAGCCTCTACATGGAAAACCGGACGACGGAACTACGACCTGCGGGAAGGAAGCGGCGAGACCTGCCGACGATTTGGGAGAAACACCATCGGCGCAGAAGCACCGGCAAGCGAAAAATTGGAGCGGGAAAACGAAGCTGAAGGTCATCCGCCGGCGAAAGGGCCGGCTAATCGCCGGGGAAGGCACGCGATTGACAAATTTTGACGGGCAGCGACTAGGGTTTTTGGGAGAGAAATTGGGGATCTTGACGTTTTTAGCTGTAACTTGTAGGACTCTTCCAACCTAGTCAATTACATAGTCAAAGTTATTATTTTAGATTATTCCATCAACCTTTTTCAATATATATATAGCTTAGTCAATCACCGGTCTTCTGCAATGCTGACATATCATCTCACATGACAAAAATTGTCAACATGTTGTTTTTAAGGTGCGTTTGTATATAAATTAACTCAATTCATGCTCAAAATCTAACTCAACCATACTATTCTCAATTATATCAATATAACTGAATAATATCAACCAATCATTTTTACACATCGTATTAACTTTAATTCACTATTTATCCATTCACATAATTTTAACTAATCATCACTTCATATCACCTCTCTCATACTTTTACATCAAATCAGCTATAAATATTTTATTTTAAATATTATTTTAATATAAATTCAAAAACTTACTAATGATTAGCTATACCATTTTTTTCAAAATTAATCATGATTAACTTAAAAAACTCATTTTGAGCGGATATATTTTTATACAAACACTTCCTGTATATAAAAAAATTAAAAATAAAGAATTTTTTAACTTTATAAAAATTATATATTTATCCATTTCTTTATTGCAATTCAAAACACAAAGTAAATTATAAGTTCCAAAATTGTCAACATCTCCTATTTAATTATTAATAATGTGGTCTAGTTTGTCCATTATTTTGTTTACATTAACCTATCCGCATAGCCGTCCTTCGGGGAACTTTTTTTGTGTTAATAATGGGATCGTGAATGAAATTTTTACGAATATCTTCAAGATACTACCAGTCTTTTCGAAAATGAAGTTGCTGATGAATAATGCTAAAGAAAAAACAAAATATTAAAGATGATTTTAGTTGGTCTCTACATGCATATAATAGTTTAAAATTATTCATCATATTCTTATTTGCTAAATATTGTCTGGCCTTGTCGTGGCCCTAGTTACCGGTTCCAGTGGGTTTACCTGTACACCAGTGTACACCGTTGACTTTCTGACCTTGGCCAGTGATTTGCCGGTCCTGTTGTTGGAGAAAGTTGTCGTCCCGTCGGTGGTTGGCGAGTCGCACCCCTACACTCGCCAGTCTAGCATAATGTGGACTGCCCGCGCGCAACTGTGCACGCCGCCGATAAACTTTATTCATCAAATCTTTCCGTCCAGCCATTTTGTCCTGGCCACCAAAGGCTGACTTGAGTTCCAACCACCCAACACATGACCTAGCCATGTCGGAGATCCCCGGTGTCCGTACACTCGTGGTTGCCGAGACTCTCCCACGCCTTTGCTGAGCCTCACGGCCGAACCGCCTCGTCAAGGTGCTCCGGTCTTTGATCCTTCGTCGTTCGATAAGTCACGTCCGCCGTAATAAAAAACATGAAATTATAGCCTTTGTCTTACGACCCACGCGAGGTTTACATGCTTGATCTAGAATTCGGTAAACTATACAGTGTTCTACTGTGCGTTTAAATATATTACAAGCAATCACAAACCCAAAATTCTCCGACATGTTTGAGGTTTTAAAACCCTATACATGAACAATAGAAGCAAATATTCATGTGACCACAAGAGTGAATCTAAGAACTCTACTATTAAAACAACAATTCTACACTACTATGTGTTGCACCGCACGCAAATAGTTCACGTATGATCCACTACAACAAAAAGTACTTCTAGCAACATAAATATGGTGACACTTTTTAAAAAGCGTTATAAAATTAAAATAATAACGACACTTTTTAAAAAATGTTACAAATATAAAATATTAACAACGTTTTCTTAAAAACTGTAACAAAATCATGTCACTTTAAAAAAAGGTGTCACAATGTTAATTATATTGTGACATTTATTTAAAGTTGTAACTAAATTACGACGTTTTGTACCGAATTGTCGTCGTAATTTCTTCTCTTCATCAACAATTCGCCTCCACAGTAGGGCATAAAATCAACCCTTATTTCACTTTTCTCTTCATCAACAATTCGCCTCCACCGTTCCACCTCTACCTCCACCGCAACACCGACGAGAAGAAGAACTCCGCCGCGTCCACCTCAGCCTCCTCACAACATGCTTCTCACAACGTGGTCTGCTTCCTCCTCGGCTCTCTCCACCCCCACACTCCACAGCCCCTTCTTCTCAGCGATCGCCACGGCATCTCTTCCTCGCTTGGTACCCACCTTTGTCCTGCCACACCACCCCACAGGCCCTGCTCACCGGCTCTCGACTCCAGAGGTAATATTTGGTTTTTGATTTGAGATTATGATTTATGAATAGCTTGACCATAACTTCAATTGAAATTGGGCATGTTCTTCACTAATTCATTTGATGAGGTTAATATCTTAATTTCTTCGATGTGCATTTGGCCTTTGTGTAACTGAAGTGAATTTCTTTGTTTATTTTATTTTATTTTTTATTATTATTCTTTTGTATTTTGATGATTCTGGTTTGGTTTGGTGTGTAAGTGAATTGAATTTTTTTGTTGTGTATTTGGCTTGCCTTTTGTTCTACAGTTAATGAACATGAGTCACTGAAAGAAACTTGACTTGGTTAAATAGATGGAACTATTTGCTAGAGCACATAGTCCTAGTCATTGTAGTTGTGGCATGTAGTAATTGATAATAACTAACTTCTGTATCAGCCAATTGAAAGAACTTTCAAATTATACTAACGAAAATATATGTATCAATAATGAAACGGAAGTGAAGTGTAATAATGCAATATAGCTTGGTGAATTGAAAGTAACATTGTTTTACTGCAAGTGATTCTGAAGTAGGTATTCAGCAAGAGAAATCAATATTTGCCGAAGATGGTGTTCTTATTGTGTTTTTTTTAATTGTATTGACTTTTTCAATATGATTTTGTAGATTGTTGCAGCAGGTGTTGATCCTAAGCAACAAAGTTTTCTCATTTGGTAAGTCTTGGATGCATAAATGTTTTGATGATTGCTTGTGTAAATTTCTTTTGTTAAATTTAAATGTATAGTTCATCTTGGTTCAACATAGTTCAAAGGCAGCACGACGTAGGAAAAGAAAGAGCCTAATGCAAAGCTCAAGGCATGTGCATCTTCTCGTCTTAGATTTAGTGATGTCAGGATCAATCAATGAGCCTCGAGACAAAGGCTGATGGTAACTTAAATAAATCTTGATATCTTTTGCCGCTATTTTTACTTGTCGTGTATTCAGTCATGTTGTTAAGACACATAAATTTAAATATATGAATGATGGTAGTGAATGTCTCTGCGTCCTAGATATGATCGGAAACAACTGCTTTGTTGTCATGCTGATGTTGGAAATTCTTGCCCTTTTTCTGAACTTTCACAATGAATGACAAGGACCTGACTTTCCTTAGCCTAAGTTTGTTCACAGTCTAGTAATTGCTTGGAGCCAAATCTTAGCAAACAATTGTTGTGTAAAATATTGAATTGACAAATCAGATTATGTTTCTAGTTATATTTTTCAAAGAAAATTGTTGTTATGTTTTGGACCATGGGATTATGCAGACATCCAATAAAAGAGAACATGTTTAACCTAGTGTTTATATAACTAGTTTCTATGTGAGAAATTGTGTGACTTGATCAGGTTTATATCTAGTCATGTGGATTCTTAAGTCAAAATTGTTGTACGTGAGAATTTGTATCCCACTTACCTTTCAAAGTTCTTAATGGCCCATTAAATACAACCTACACATGTGTACATGGATATTAATGTAATGATTGTATCTACAGATATATTGGTGCATACATATGGATTTGAAAGGAGAAATGTAGCTTAATTGTTTCTTTTTTGTATGTATGTTTGCAGGTATCAATCTATTATCAAGGAAGAAAGGATTGAGATTTCAAAGCCTGGTCTCGACCATGGTAAATCCAAGGTGCATCATCATATTACCATGCGACACCATAGATCAACAGTGCACATGTCAGAAGAAATAAAAAGGCACAACTCTAACTCAACTTTAGAAATATTATCCAGTTGAAATATTATCATCTGAATAATGATAAATTTTAATGATGTATATTCAAATGACCCTGATTTGAGTTGTTTTTTAGACTGTTATTAATTTCATAAACACAGAACGTACTATAGGGTAAGTGCAATATTGGATAATAATAATAATAGAACACTTTAGATATCGAGTATTATATTATCTTAAAGTAAATATTATGTTCTTTTAGTCTGTAGTCTTGATCTTATGTTATTTATGGTTTTTCAATTTAGGTATTTGACTTGGAAGAACCATACTTGCAAGCATAAATTGATGATATACGGAGATGGTGGACCAAGTATTTTATCGATATCACCTCATTGGCTAAGTAGAAGGCTATGTAGGCTTTTGTTTTCAGAATATTTGATGTATGTTGAATATTTGGTGTATGTTGAACTATTTGGTATTGTTAGACATTTCGGAAATGTTAATTTTACTTTTTTTTCAGTTACTTTCTAGTTTCTACATTGGTTTAACTAATGAATAATTTATTTATTTTTCTTTTACTTTTACTTTCTACATTGGTTTGGAAAATGGTATTTTTTTTTTTTTTAATTTTTCCTATCAAAATTTACATCAGTTGTAATAATGACGTATATAAGAAAGCGTCATGCATTGACAATTTACAACGCATTCATTTTGCGTCGCCAAAATTAGTAATAGTAACACATTTAAAAAAGCGTCATGTATTAAAAATTAGTGACGCTAATATCTTGAGTCATAAAATTCCGCAAAGGTGACACATTTGTAAAAAGCGTCGCGTATTGAAAATTACCTACGCACGAGTCTTGTGTCACGAATAAATTCGTGACATCAAATTTAACAACGCAACTCGTGACACTTTTTCAAGCGTAGGTAAAAAATTTTGTGACACTAATAAATGTCACTAAACCAAAAAATAAGCGTTGCTAAATGTCTTTTTTTTTGTAGTGATCTGTTTCTGTCACGGCACAATCATCGAGATAACCATGTCTCTAGTACCAGTTGTTGGGTTTGGTGAAGAACGCTCCGCTGATCGTGCTTTGAATTGATTTAGAATCTAAGATAAGAATCATACATACAACGGAACTAACAATTGGATTCAAATCTTACTTGTTTGTTAATGTCGACTCTATACAGACATACACTGTCTACGGGGCCAGACGAACGGTTTTTTGAATCTCTTTATCCTTCATTCGTCCTTCTTTCCATGTCGTGTCATCACCTCAATCAGCGAGTCGATGTCGCTAGAGTCACACAAGTCGCCGGGTGCTGGATATGCTAATCTTTCATGCACTGGAGTCGCGCAATTGCTGCAGGGAGCGTCTCACGTCTGTGTTGGGGTGTGTCGCTGATATATAGCCATAGCTTCACTAACTCGGACTGGTACTAAGTGAACTAGGTCGGCCGGCTGAAGAAAGGATCAGATCGACTTTTGGACAACGCGTGAATACAGGGAAAGCGGGAGCGAGTCGACTCAACCCATACAATGATGACCTGATACAGTAGGAACAACCGAAACTACTGCAACTTATCGACCTATAGAAGATGACCTGTAGAAGGGTGTCTAGCCCAGGGATTCTACTTACCGATATTCAGGGGGAGTGGATTGCGACCTGCGGGCACTTAGACAACTGTGTCCACATTGAAGCATGGGTCGAGAGACAGGCCTTATGGGAACCAATGAGAATCTAATCAGGATAAGAAGGAATCTAATGATGATAAGATGAGATGAAGATAAGACTAACCTTTGGGCAACCCAGGATAGTTATGTACTGGTTGACCGGGGCAGCCAAATCTTTGGCACCGAAGTATTCCTACCACTGCACATTCTTTACATTATATACACATACTATATACAACTCTCTAGATACAAAGCTCATCATCTTCCCCTATACCAACTTGAGCGTCGGAATGCTCACGCCGAGAACCCTCTCGGCCTTTTGTTTTGCAGGTTAATAACTATTTGAACACGATCGGATCTTTAAACAGTCGGTTCGCCTCAGATCTAGGTTGTCAATACATCGGTATGAATAATGAAATAGTTCGCTCCATAACCAGAAGTTGTTAAACTAAAATATATACAAAATTATAAATGATATGTAGGTTCATAAAAAATATGGAGTTTCCAAATCTTCACGATCTTCACGTTCAACTTTGAAAACTGAATCCTCATGCCTTATCAGTCACCATCACGATTATCTTGTCCAAATATTTCAAATTTGATAGCCTCTGTGTGTGTGTGTCTTCCATATTTTGGAATATTCTTTCTTGTTTCCTTGCCAGTTTTTAGAAATATATTATCGCTCAATTTTCTTCCTTTCGTGCTCGATTTCTCCAGTTTTCTAACACCACATT